ATGCAAAAGACCGTTTTCAAAAAGCTCGTCACGCCCTGAAAGACCTTCCTGGTAAGGCTCAATCTATCAATTCCCACACCGTTTCGTGACTTCCTAACAGTTTTCACTTGTACAGTGCGCCTTTTTTTGCGTTGTGGGTATCTCGAATCTATCCAACCTCTTTGACGTTTACCTTGGGTATCCATCCCGCCGCTCCATGGTTCCTATGGAGTACCCTAATTTCCGGTAGATAAGCCCGCGCCGATATCACGTAAAAACACCTCCGCTGGTGCAGTGCACTTGCGTACATCTAGAGACAACCGTAACTTGCCCATAGGGGTAATTCGATATGCTGATTACGAAAACGACATTCATTTTTAGCGGTGGCGCCATCTGGCGCCAGTTGGCGTCACCTTGTCACGACCCTTGTTTTCACCAAAATCGGTGTAAACTTCTGTATAGGGGTTATTTGGTGCCCTGATTACGAATGACATTCGTTTTTGGCATTAACGTTGTTCAACGCATATTTCTCGGTTGGAGAGTGCAGACGAGCAGAAAAAAGGCGCCGTGTTGTGACAAGCTGGCGCCAACTGGCGCCAGATGCACCGCCGCTAAAAATGAAAGTCATTTTCGTAATCAGGGCATCGAATTACCCTCTATAGGCAAATTTACGGTAGTTTCTAAGGGTGTACAAAATTACACTGCACGAGCGGAGGTGTTTTTACGTGAAATCGGCGCGGGCTTATCTACCGAAATTAAGGTAATTGTGAATGTCATTTCTGATTGATACCTATATTATTCAGGACGAATATGGAAACTCGGCTACTTTTCCAACGTGCTCACTCCTGGCCGATGGATTCACCGTGTAGATGAAGTTATCATACCTGCGGGATGTACAAACGCATCAACTGGTAAGATGCAGTAGTTTTTTTTTTCGAGTAGGTTTCTTGATACCAATGTGAGTAAATTCAACCCTTCGATCTAGTCGTGTTTGTTAATTCCTGTGTAAAATGCAGCATGACCGCAACACATTGCAATCATGTTTCATGTGCTTCATATTCAGGTGGCATGATCACAGCCCCTCCATGGGGACCGATGCAAGGCGGTATGGCCGTTAACGTGTCAGGACCGTGTTTAAGGCCAACCGATAATATTAAGGTATCATTAACAGCGTACTTTTTACACTTTTAGTGAGAATTGCTTATTAGGAAGAACACGTGTGCACGATCCGTCCATAATAAACAGCTCAAGTGACACCACACTGTCAACGTCTCTTAGGCCGATGTCATAGTTTGCGAATCAAGTGATTTGCTAGCGTCC